CTGGTTCCAGGACTAGGGCAGGAAAAATGCACAATGAGCCTGGGAATCTTGTGCCAAAATCTAAGGATGGGTTCAAAGACCAATGAAGCCATGTCTAAAGGAAATGGGAACCAGCCTAAAGGGATTCCCCCTGGCCAAACTGGAAAAAATTTGAGCAAAGAAAATGAGCTGAATAGCTGGGCACAGTGGCACATGCCTGTAATCCCACAGCTCAGGAGGCTGAGGCAGGAGGATTGGAGCTCAAAGCCAGCCTCAGCAAAAGCCAAGGCACTGAGCAACTCAGTGAGACCCTGTCTCTAATAAAATATAAAATAGGACTGGGATGTGGCTCAGTGGTTGAGTGCCCCCAAATTCAACCCCCAGGACCAAAATTAAAGAAGCTGAATACATAACACTGAAATTAAGTAAGAAATACAAGTGATATTTTAAAAAACTGCCATAATTGGCAATGATATATGAACTTCTTTTTTCTATGAAAATTTGTATTTAAATGGAAAGGATTATATACACTTCCCTTGCCTTTTTGAAGAAACTAGTTAATGCCCTATAGATGCGGAAAAACTCATTTTTACAGTAGAATATCAGCTATAAACAGTGAATGACTGATTTAGGAAATCAAGATTGTATAACTCCCAATTAAATTACTATCAGAAAATTTTAAAAACTAAATAAAATAGTAATAAATGGATGCTAAAATCTTTAGCTAAGAGGTTATTGGAAACAGGAGTGTTGCAAGTACCAGTTGCAAGGTACCAGTTGGGGACGTGGCTCAGTGGCCAAGTGCTCCTGTTTTTTTTTTTTTTTCCTGGTACCAGGAAAAAAAAAAAAAAAAAAAAAAAACAAGGCTGGGTATATGGCTCGTGTAACAACTGCTAGGCCCTGGGTTCCATTCTCAGTTCCACACACACATAATTATAGATATTATCAAAAATATTCTAATCTGGATCTAATCAAGCAATTTGACCTAATTTCCAGTTTACAAGAAATTCATGGGTTGGAAGAAGGAATTAAAAACCCCATAAGAAAACAAACCATCCTGATTTACCCAAGACTAATGGGATTCTCCAGATGCAGAATTAGTGCTTGCTCAAAATGGCAAGAGTCCAAGGCAAACCAGGATAGTTTTTAGACTATGGTCAAACAAATCCATAACATGGGACAGGCCTGGTTCTCAAGAAGTCAGTGCCACGAAGAGTAATTCAGGAGAATGAGGCAGGTGGATCACAAATTCATGGTCAGCCTCAGCAACTTTGCAAGATGCTCAGCAACTTAATGAGACCCTGTATCAGAATTAAAAATAGAAAGGGTTGGGGTTGTAGATTGGTGATAAAGTGCCCCTGGGTTCAATTGCCAGTGCCATGAAAATTAAAAAGATGGGGAGAATGTACTAGATTTGAAGACTGAAAAGACACAACCAAATACAAAGAATGAATTGGCCATGAAAGACTTTTGGGGGGCAATTGAATATACACCCACTCAGCCAGGTCATGCATGTAAATAAACCATGCAATATACTGGTTACTTTAACTGTTTTCTTCTTGTAATGACTTTCTGGATGAAGAATGTTGTACTCTGATAGAAACTCTAGTGCAAACTCCATCATATCTGTGAACCACAAGGTAGTCTAGATCACACTTTATGAAGCAATGGACTACATATTTTCTCGGTAACAAGTGCTGAGAACTTGTTAATTTTCTTAGCTGGGCTTATGTTATTATGTATGGCTATGTACAAAAATGTCTTTATGCTTACAAGATGATGAGGTATTTAAAAGTTAAGTGTCAAGGTACTTACAAATTCACTTTCAAATGGTTTATTGAATAACATTTACTCAGGGCTGGGGTTGTAGCTCAGTGGTAGAGCGTTTGCCTAGCATATGTGATGCACTGGGTTCGATTCTCAGCACCACATTAATAAATAAATAAAGGTACTGTGTCCATCTACAATTAAAAATGTAATATTAAAAAAATTTACACATGTTATATTAACACACCATGTTAACATTTGTTGAATCTTGGTGGCAGATTTATGGCTTGTTGTACTCATCTGTCAATTTTCTTTTATGCCTGAAATTTTTCATAATAAAATTGATGAAAGCTCAATTCTAAAATGAGCTAACAGGATATAAAATAACAAAATAATGAGGAAGGAAATTGTCCATAACCAATCCTGTATTTATCCATTCACTAGATATCCCTTCAAAGAAAAATATCCAAGTTTAAAAAACAGATGAGTTAGCCAGAAGAGGTAAGGAAAAAAAGTTGAGGAAACAGTTTTTTGTTGTTGTTGTTGTTGTTCTTTTAAATCTACATCCCTAGCCATTTTATTTTTTTTCTTTATTTGAGACAGTGTCTTGCTAAGTTGCTTAGGGCCTCATTAAGTTGCTGGGGCTGGTGTGAACTCATGATCCTCCTGCCTCAGCCTCCTGAGTTGCTGGGATTACACGCATGTGCAACCACACCCAGCCAGGAAACAGAATTTTAAAAGGACCAAAATGGAAGAAATTTGTCCTTTTAGGAAAAGTTATTCAATGTGTACAGAGAAATGAGGCTCCCTAGATTATGAAGTGGCTTTTTAGGTTCATAAAGGAGTTTAGTACTTTATTTTAAAAATAGTAATAAGCCAATGACAGATTTTGAAAGCAATGGAGAAACATAATGCAATGTGCATTTTAGAGAAAAAAAACCTAGGCTGTAGAGAATTTTCGGAATGGAAGGGGATAAGGAGTGGATATAAACAACATCAGTTGGAAAGATGACTTTTGCAATAAAAATCTGGCGAGAAATGATTATAGCCTGCAGGGTTGGCAATTTGATGATAAATTAGATGAGGGCGATAGTACAGGATAATTCAGATCATTCCTAGGCTTCTCACTCCAATGACTCTGTAGACTGGTATATTCATTAAGAATAGGAATAGAGGAGGAAGAACAGGTTCAGGGAAAAGAAAGGACTCAACATTGAATACATTGAGTTTGGAGTATTTAGAGGAAATAACCAGGTGGAGCCAGGTGCAGTGGTGCATGCCTGTAATCCTAGCAGCTTGGGAGGCTAAGACAGGAGGATTGCGAGTTCAAAGCTAGCCAGCCTCAGCAACGTAACAAGGCCCTAAGCAACTCAGCAAGACTGTCTCTAAATAAAATATAAAAAAGGGTTGGGGAAGTGGCTCAGTAGTTAAGCACCCCTGTGTTTAATCCCCAGTACAAAAAAATTAAAAAGATATACAGGTGGAAATCTACCTTTTAGGCAGTTAAAACAGGAATAAGAGAACTCTGGTTTCTGGCTTAGATAACGGGTAGATGCTGTCGCCATTTACTCATATTGGGGGGGGATATAGTTGCATTATAAATTCAGGGACCAAGGATGTAGTTCAGTGGTATAGCATGTGCCTATCATGTGTGAAACCCTAGGTTTTATCCCCAGCACTACAAACAAAACAAAATCTAAATTTTAAAATTCTTTGGTTATAAAAATCTTTTCAAGGGCTGGGGCTGTGGCTCAGTGATAGAGCACTTGTCTAGCATATGTGAGGCACTGGGTTCGATCCTCTGCAACCACATATAAATAAATAAATTAAATAAAGGTCCTTCAACATCTAAAAATATATTTTAAAAAATCTTCAAAATGTAACCCCAAAAGATGGGGAATTTTTTTAAATGTATGTTTCAATACGAAATATATATATAAAATATGTATGCTTATATATATGTGCATATATACATGTTTCTGTTTTCTATTACATAAAATTAAAACATAAGGAAGTAGGGAAAAAAACTTAGTTGACTACCATAAGCAAAGGCTTAATCATTTTAGATTATTTCCTTCTATTAAAATGAATAGTCATCGTAATATGTGTGGTGTGTGTGTGTGTGTGTGTGTATTATGCTCTTTTGATGTCTTTAAAAAAAATACCTTTTTGGTTGCAGAGACTGCCCTTCCTAGAGTTAACTAATTCTTGCTACCTTAAGGGTGTAGGCAGAAGGTGCCTGTTCATCAACTTTCCATCACTGTGACAAAAAGATTTGTTTGGTTCATGATTTCAGAGGTTTCAGTTCAAAGTCACTTGGCCCCATTGCTTCTGGGCCTAGGGAAAAGAACAACATCATGGCAGGGAGTACATAATGTAGAGAAAAGCTGTTTACCTCATAGTGGCCAGGAAGCAAAGAGAATAGATGTCCAGGATGCCCCAGTCCTTTTCGAGGGGATGACCTCAATGACTTAATTTCCTTCCACCAGGCTCCACCTCCTAAAAGTTCCACCATCTCACAATCGCTCCACAGGCTGTGGATCAAGCCTTCAACACATTGGATCTGTAATGTGCCCCAAAGTCCCAACTGTAGCAATGTCCTTTATATACAAAGGGACCCAATTCAGAGGCCTACCACCTCTATCTGGTTGGTGTACTCCAAGGAACAACATTATTCTATCCGAATCATCCTAGGGCAAAGTACCAGACAACTAGAAACCACACCTATAGCTCAAGCCTGTAACAACTGTTCAAACTAGTTAATCCTAAACTGTTCACCCTTCCTTATCTTTCCAGAAGAATCCCCAGTAAAGGCTATGGCCTAAACCTTCCCCTTGCTCTTGCCTCCTGCCTCCTGCCTCCTGCCAACCTTGGTGTCTTTCTTATGTATGTGTCCCTGAGTGATATGGGATGCCTTCTGTCCCTAGGACCTGTGAGATAATAAATATTGTTCTCTGGAGCCTCTCCTGTGTCTCCTTTTGTAGCTGCACCTGACTGACCATCTCATAAAAGAAAAGGAAATAAAATATAGTAGCTTCAACATATATTTTTCTGATAAAGAGGCTTCTCTAGAAGTATTTAGGACTCAGAATTACAAATACCAGTTGACCTGATATCATTTTTTAAATTATGCAATGATTGCTAAATTACATATCCTTAGAGTATTAAAAAGTCAAAACATAATCTGTGTTGGTGGGCAACTGTTCAAGAAAAACTCCAGAATTGAAGAAATCATGAATTAGAGAATTTTGAAGTCAGTTTTCCATATATACTTTATTGTAATACATATTATAATAGCTCCAGATTCTGTAGCTTTCTGCCTTCATACTACACAGCAATTACAGGTATTTGATCTCTTCTTTGAAAACCTCCCTTCCCTTGGTGTCTCCCCAATAATTCAATCTCCTTCTGTGGGTGATATCTAATTGGTTGTTCCTAGAGAAAACCATATTTTTAAAGGTTATTCAACAAGCCTCAAATCCTAAAAAACCAAAGGAATGAATCTCTACTGATGATCAGTCACCCTACAATCACTATAGCAGCTGGCTCTGCTTTTTTAAGTTCAAGTTCTAACTCTTGATTATCTCATGACCTTTTAAGTCTTAAAATATCTAGAAATAGTAAAATGCACAGATCCCAGGCAATGTGAAATTATTATCACCTGCTAAAAAAACTCAGTTGTCATGCTGCAAGCAGAATGAGAAGGAGGAAACAAGACTATAAACTGGTGCCAAGGGATCTATGTCAGCTGATAGGAAAAGGAAGGGAGAAGTCTAAATCTAGGGCCAAGATGTGGTGAGTGGTCAAAACTTGGCAAACATGAATAATCAGAGGAACCTAACAATTAAGGTTAAATCTGCCTCAAACAGGAGCCTACTATATTCTTCCTGTTCATGATCCAAAGACTAGTTTCCCTAATAATGTTCTCAGAGTCTGCAGTGTAACAATATCACAAACCTGGAAGTTTCCAACATTTCAGCCTCAACAAATAACCTTCAGTGTTCTAGGAGGCTTCTTATCGAGTAAAGAGGAGCACCAGCTCGCAGTGCAGGGTATGGGGAAACAAATCCACAGGTACAGCTCGGCTCAGGACAAAAGGCTCACCTAGAAGCTTCTTAGCAGAGTTTGGAGCACAGCACAGCCTGTAAAAACAAATCATATTGATTTCTAAAAACAAAAGTACATACAAGAACACAAATGCTGAAAATGAACAGGGCACTGTGGTGCACACCTGTAATCTCGGTGGCTCTGGAGGCTGAGGCAGGACACGAGTTCAAAGCCAGCCTCAGCAACTTAGTGAGGCCCTAAGAAACTCTGAGACCCTGTCTCTAAATAAAATACAAAAAAGGGCTGGGGATGTGGCTCAGTGGTTAAGTGCCCCTGGGTTCAATACTCAGTAGTAAAAAAAAAAAAACCAAACAAAAAAAACTGCTTAAAATGGAAGCCTTTCCTTTGTGTTCCCACAACATCCCATGTTTCTCTCATATATCTAGTTCATCATATTTAATGTAATGGTTTTTCTTTTTTTTTAATTTTTATCTGCAGATGGAAATAATGTCTTTATTTTTATGTGGTGCTGAGGATTGAACCCAGTGCCTCCTGCATGAAGGGCAAGAGCTCTACCACTGAGCTACAATCCCAACCCCAAATGTAATGGTTTTTCTTATCCATCTTTTTAAAATTATTTTAATTGTCAGTGAACATTTATTTATTTGTGGTGCTGATAATCGAACCCAGTGCCTCACACATGTCAGGCAAATGCTCTACCACAGAGGTACAACCCCAGCCCCTTATCCATCTTCTTAACTGGAGTTCAGATGCTCCTCAACTTATGATGAGGTTTTTTTTTTTTTTTTTAAAGAGAGAGTGAGAGAGGAGAGAGAGAGAGAGAGAGAGAGAGAGAGAGAATTTTTAATATTTATTTTTTAGTTTTTGGTGGACACAACATCTTTGTTGGTATGTGGTGCTGAGGATCGAACCCGGGCCGCACGCATGCCAGGCGAGTGCGCTACCGCTTGAGCCACATCCCCAGCCCTTATGATGAGGTTTTAAGTTCTGATAAACCCATAGTAAGCTGCAAATATCAAGTCAAAAGTACATTTCACAGGCTAGATTAGAGCATATGCTTAACATGCACAAAGCCCTGGGTTCAATCCCACAGTATCAAAAAAAAAAAAAAAAAGATTCTTTGGTAATCATGTGACTGGGAGATGTGGTCTGCTGCTGCTGCCAAGCATCATGGTATTGCTAGCTCAAAAAATCATGAAAATTCAAAGTGTGGTTTTCACTGAATGTGTATACCTTTCACATCATCATAAAAAAAAAATTTCAACCATCATAAGGTAAAGACCATCTGTAGGGGCTGGGGATGTGGCTCAAGCGGTAGCGCGCTTGCCTGGCATGCGTGCGGGCCCAGGTTCAATCCTCAGCACCACATACCAACAAAGATGTTGTGTCTGCCGAGAACTAAAAAATAAATATTAAAATTCTCTCTCTCTCTCTCTCCCTCTCCTCTCTCACTCTCTTAAAAAAAAAAGACCATCTGTATAATATTTCTGAGGATATAACTGAAGCAAAAGCCATTTATCATTCATCTGTGTTCCCAGATGTGACAGGGAGTTCAACATATATTTGGTAAATGGAATGTGAAGCCTAAGTCAGGTATGGCCTAAGTCAGGTATGTTCTGTATGATTTGCATACAGAAGGCAATTACTAAATATTCACTGAATTATATTCATTCTATTGAAACTTTCAAAGTAGATCACTTCTCCCCCCTTTCTCAATGGCTCATTATAGAAAATGCAGTCAGACAAAAAAGAACAAAAATTCACTTATAAACTCCAGAAGAATCATCACTCCAAACTTTTCAGTGTATACCTTACAAATTATGTGTATTTAAGTTGATTTTTAAAGATGGAGGTGCATTGTACTTAGTTCGTACTGCTTTACAACGCGCTTCTTCACACATCACGAGCACCTCTCCATTATAGGTAAAGCTACCGCACATTTACTGGCAATATGCCATTTCACTAGATAGATGTAACAGTTTATTTATATAATTGCTTGCTACTGGAAATCTAAGCTGCCTCTAACCTTTTGCTATTTCAAAAAGTCCCTCTGTGAATATAAGTAGTTATAGCTTTGCACATAATTTTAGCTATTTAGTGGAACTGCTAAGTTGAAGAGCCTATATTTTTTTAAGGCCTTAAGACATGTACCACTAAACTGTTCTAAAAAAGGTTGTTTCCAGTTTAAACCCAAGGAAAGTGGAAGAGTGTTTGTTTCCCTGGATAACACTCAAGTTTAAGCAGCACTGTTCCATTAAAAATGGTGGCTCAAGCCTGTAATCCCAGCGGCTCAAGAGGTTGAGGCAGGAGGATCGCGAGTTCAAAGCCAGCCTCAGCAAAAGCAAGGTGCTAAGCAACTCAGTGACACCCTGTCTCTAAATAAAATACAAAATAAGGCTGAGATGTGGCTCAGTGGTCAAGTATCCCCTTTCCCACCGCCAAAATTAAAAAAAAAAAAATCAAGTACAAGACAAAGATATTCAGTATTACATTTACAATAGAACATTTTTAATACAATAAGGAAAAAAAGTTTTGGAAGGAACAACTTTGCAAACATTATGCCATTTGAAAGAAATCAGATGCAATGACTCATACAATATAGGATTCGATGTGTATGAAATGCCCAGAGAAGGCAAATCTATAGAGACAGAATAGTGATTTCCTAGGACCAGAGGGTTGTGGTGGGAAGTAAATAAATGATTTCAATAGGTATAGGGTTCATTTTTGAGATGACAAAGCATTCTGGAATTAGATCATGGAGATGGCTCCTCAAGTCTAAGAACATATCAAAATTCATTGAATCATATCCTTCAACTGGGTGAATTGTATGACACATGAATTCTATATAAATAAAGCTGTTAAAATAACACACCCTAGAGATTTTCATAGAGAACATAGTCATTCATTTTCATACTAGTACGACATTCTATTGTGTGGATAAGCACATTTGATTTAATCAGTTCTTTTCCGATGGTCTTTAGTCTATTTAATCTTTTGCTGTTAAAATACTGCAATAACTTTATAGTCACTTTACATGTATGAATTTTACCTGTAGAATAAAGCCTCAGGAATGGAATTTCTGGTTCTAAGGGTATATATACTTCTGTAATTTTAATCTATATTTCTAAATTTCCCCCCAAAAGGATAGTACCAATTTCCATAGGGTTAGTGCTCAATTTACCACATTTAGTTTTTTAAATGCATATTATCTCATATTATTGCCAACCGTGCATATCAAACTTATACTTTTGCCAATCTGAGATGTAAAAAGTGGTATCTCAATATACTTTTAATTTCATTTCCATTACTATGGGAGAGGCAGTATCATTTCATGGTTTGTAACCCATTTATAAAATGTCCTTTTCATATCCTGTTTATTTTTCTGCTGCACTGTAGTTCTTTTTCTTATTGATTTCCAGGAGTCTGCTATAGACTAAGAAGTTTTTGTGATATAAACTACAAATATTTTTTGTCTTCTGTCATTGCTTATGGAACTTTTCATCATGTGTAAGTTACTGACTTAAGTTTTATTGAGATAGAATTCACATACAATATAGCTTACCCACTTACAATTCAGTGATTTTTAGTATATTCACAGAGTTGTGCATCCATCATCACAATCAATTTTGGATCACTTTCATTTCATTAGCCCAATATTCCACACACCTCTTAGCAATCACATACCATGTCTCCCCAGAACCCACCTCCACCCTAGGTAACCATAAATCTATTATGTTTCATAGATTTGCCTATTGTACACATGTCGTATAAATGGAATCATACAATATGTGGTCTTTTGTGTCTGGCTTTTGCATATATTTTTGCAATTCCTATTCCATGGGTTGACTTTTTTTGGGGGGGAGGGGTACCAGGGATTGAACCCAGGGGCATTTAACCACTGAGCCACTTCCCCAGCCCTTTTTGAATATCTTATTTAGAGACAAGTGTCACAGAGTTGCTTAGGGCCTAAGTTGCCAAGGCTGGTTCTGAACTCAAGATCCTTTTGCCTCAACCTCCAAGCTGCTGAGATTACAGGCTTGCACCACTGCAACCGGCAACTTTTTTACTTTCTTGATGCTATCATTTGAAGCACAAAATTCTTTTTTATTATTTCAATACATTATTTTTGTCCTTGGGCTTTTGATGTGACATCAAAAGCCTAATCTAAGGTCACAGAGACATAAAATCATATTGGTTTTCTTCTAAGAGTTCTTTAGTTTCAGCTCTGACATTAAGTTTTATGACACATTTTGAATTCATTTCTGTGTATAGTATAACAAAAGGAAAAGTTACATGTGCCTCATAATGACATTTCAGTCAACAACAGACTGCATTTTTTACAGTGGTCACATAAGCTTATTTCATTTAGTAACATCTTAGCCATCATGGTTTGTGTAAGTATACTCTATGCATACTGGAAAAAAATCACCAAATGACTCATTTCTCAGATCATATTCCTGTAGTTAAGCAACACACAACTATATTTTTATATAGTCAGATAGAACAACCTTTTATCACATGGCTTCTGAATTCTCAGAGATGGCTTCTGCATGCCAAGATTATAATGAATGCTACGATGTCTTAGGGTGAAGTTATGGTTCTCCCCCATTTTACCAGTTAAATCTTTGATTAGTTTCTGATTTATCCTGGGTTTACAGCTTTTTTTTTCTTTTGCCATGGCTACATGGCTGTCCAACACCATTTATTGAATAGTTCATCTTTTCCTCCACATTTAAGATGCCACCTTCACTACACATTCAGAAATATTTTAAGCTGGGTATAGTGGCACACACCTGTAATCCCAGTGGCTTGCTTGGGTGGCTGAGGCAGGACGATCACAAATTCAAAGCAGCCTCAGCAACTTAGTGAGGCCCTAAGCAACTCAGTGAGACTCTGTCTCTAAATGAAATATAAAACAGGGCTGGGGATATGGCTCAGTGATCGAGTACCCCCGAGTTCAATCCCTTGTACAAAATCCACAGATTTGCCGTTTTTTTCATTTATGACTTCATGGTTTTATTTTACCCCTTCATATTTAATTACCTTTTTGTTTTGGGCAGTACTAGAGATCAAATCCGGGAGTGATACACCTCTGAATTACACTCCCAGCCCTTTGTAAGACTGATTCTACATTGCCAGTCTGGCCTCAAAATTGCCATCCTCCTGCCTCAGCCTCCATAATCACCGTGATTACAGGATTATACCACTATGCTCAGCTTTATATTTTTTTCTCAGAATTCCTTATTGTTTACATATCAAATGTTAACAGATTTTTTGTTTCACAATTCATTAACTTATGGATTTTTTTTGGCAGGACTGGAGATTGAACCCAGGACTTCACACATGCCAGGCAAGCACTCTACAAGTGAGCTACATTCCAGGCCAACTTAATTTTCAAGTCCACAAGCTAAAAAGTAACAATAAACCTAAAGAAAACTGAAGAGAAAGAAAAAATAATGATAAAAAAAAAAACCTAATCTGGGCTAGGGATGTAAGTCAGTGGTAGGATGCTTGCATAGTGTGTATGAAACCATGGGTTCAATTGCAAAAATCCAAATAGCTGACCAGGGCCAAAACTAGAATGAAGTGAGTTATAAGCATTTAAGCATTTGGAGCAAAATTTAACTGGCCATCAAAAATCCCAGTAATCAATATAATAAATACTATGATGCAATATTTTAGAATATCAAATTGGAAAGTTCCAGCCTATAGGCTAGTCACCTACTTTTATAAATGTTTTATTGAACTCAATACCAGGATTAGGGTAAGGCACTGAGGCAAGGTTTAGCAAGTGCAAGGGCATTTAAAATTAACACATAATAATTTTACATATTTATGGAATACAGTGTGATATTTCAGTGGGATATTTCAGTGGGATATCACTCCATGGTTAAGCACCCTAGGTTTAATCCCTAACACCAAAAGGGGGAAAAAAAAGGATAAATGATATGAATGGATACTTCTCAAAAGAAAAAATTCAAAATGATCAGCAAAATTGCTCAATAACATTACCAATGATGTAAATGGAAGTCAAAACCACAATGAAATGTTATGTCATCCCAGGTAAAATGGCTACTATAAAAAAGACAAAAATTAAATGCTGATGAGAATGTGGAGAAAAAGGAACTCTAACACAGTGTTGGTGGGGATGTACATTAGTATAGCCACTAGGGAACAATTTAGAGTTTTCTCAACAAACTAAAAATAGATCTATTATATAATTCAGCTATTCCACTTTTGGGTAAATATGACAATCATATTCAAGAAATAAAATCATCTTATCCAAGAGATAGTGGAACACCTATGTTCATTCCTATGTTATGTTAAATAAAATAAGACACAGAAAGACAAATACCACATATTTTCATGTGTAGACTCTTAAATAAAAAAGGGCTGGCTATATAGCTCAGTAGTAAAGCACCTGAGTTCAAGCCCCAGTACTCAAAATAAAGAAAAATAATTAAAATATTGTATTAAAATTTCATCTTAATCACTGAAATTTGACAGCCTCTTAAAACTACATACCCAAAGTTAGTGCCTGTCTTGCCCCAACCTAGACCAGGACCTTAAATGACTTTTAAAAGTGGTATAATTTTTTTTTTCTTTTAGTTTTCTTTATGCCTCTCTACATTTTCTAAATTGTGTACAGTAAGCATGGATTACTTTGATAATAAGAAAAAGTAATTTTTTTAAGGAGAGAGAGAGAAATAGAATTTTTTTTTTTTTTTGGTAGATGGACACAACACAATGCCTTTTTTATTTAACGTGGTGCTGAGAATCGAACACAGGTCCGCCCGTGCTAAGCGAGCGCTCTATCACTGAGCCACAATCCCAACCCAAGAAAAAGTAATTTTTAACAAGAAGCCAAGACTCACTCAATAATGTTCCTTGTGGTTTCACCATGGGGCTTGCAGGAAACAAAAACTAGAGTGCGGATGGCCCTGCAGTTTCGAATTGCTTGAACCACCTGGTAATCTGATGGAAAAAATAACTTATTAACATAATTAACCTATCATGGTCACATTATCATGAACTCCTGACAAGGACATAGGATTGGTTAGGAATAGAGGAGAAGCTAATAATTAGTACACCAAGAGCCCCCTTAGCATGGTGTGGGAATGAGGAATCAAAGCTGGGAAGACATCATAGGGAACATCCAACTAATCCATTCCTCCTTACGCAGTCCAGCGCGGGCTGGGTTCACCACAGCAACGATTAACTGCCTATCTTCCTTTGATTTGAGTAGCTGTGGCAAAATCGTTTCTGCTCTACCAGTGTAAAATTCACAGTTGGTGATGCCTGCAGAAGAGATACACATATGATAAAACTTGACCCCAGGAAGAGAAGGTTCAGCTTTATCAAAATGTATAGGAGCCAGGGCTCTGCCATCTTCCTTTTGATTCTAGCGTACCTATGAAAAACAATGAAAGAGATGCATTTGGACTGCTTCATTCTTTTTTTTAATATTTATTATTTGGTTGGACACAATATCTTTATTTTTATGTGGTGCTGAGGATCGAACCCAGGGCCTCACATGTGCTAGGCAAGCTCTCTACTGCTGAGCCACAACCCTAGCCCCCTGCTTCATTTTTTCCAAAATATTTTTGGAACATCTCAGTAAGCCTTTCAGCTTGAAAGACTAGTGTTATTTTACAACTTAATGACTCACATGTATGTAAGTACCTATATCAAATGAGAACCTTGACTTTTACTCAAGCATTCTTCCTGCTGGACTGGAGGATTTTGCCCAGCCTCAAGAGCTATCTGAAGGTAGGGTAGAAGGAAAAAGATAATTGTTTTCTATATAATAGTTTGGGATGATTTTATTTGACGAAAAGGTTCTGCTGCTGAAAATATAGGTTTGAAACTTGTCATATTACATAATGATGCCTTGTGATTCTAATATCAAGAAGTCTCTTCTATCTCAAGTTTTATGAGTTCCCTTCCTATCAGCTGGGCTTATTCCTTTTCTCAGGCTCTTCTGGACAAAAAAATTGATACTGGGAACTTTTCCAGAAAATCATCAGGACCCAACTCCTGACTATTCCAGAATTTTGCCTTCCCAAGTTCAAGGATACAGTAGTTCTCCTTTTTCATATAACTCTTTCCATATCATGGAAACAATTGCATCTCTTTTATTCCCCAGTCCCAGAGATAGAAGCCAGTACTATGCACACAGTAGGCAAGTGTTGTACCACTGAACTATGACCCTTCAACTGTATCTCTTAATTTCCCCCAAAATGGTAACTGTTTACCATTGAAGGCTGCAGTCCACCTGGCATCCTCTACTGCCTGCTCCACTAATTCAATCCCGAGGATCTGGGATGCATGCCGAGCCAGAGACAGGCCAATCACACCTGGCGAAATCAGAGGATAAGAAGAAGGCATTTCAGGGTTTTAAACACATTTATGCCTATACCACCTACCCTACCCACCCTAAAATGACTCTGAATATTATGTAGACAGCATTTGGGAGTTCGCATCACACAGCTTCTTCCTTGGGCTATCACTTGCCAGTTCCACAGCAGATGTCAAGGAGGATGGTATTAGAATTCACTCCACTCAGCTCTCCCACAGTTCGATAGAGCATCTCTGCACCAGCAGTGTTAATCTGGAAAAAAGCATCTGGAGAGATGCGAATCTTCAAACCCAGGAGATCTTCAAAGATATGAGGTTCCCCAAATAGGAGCTGGTAGGGGGACTGCTGATGGCTACAACGGGTCATTTTGCTAGGAAAGAAAGACAAATCATCTTAGAATGTCAGACCATTCCATCTCTAGAGCTTGGTTGGAAGGGGATGCCCCTATCTTGGCAAGGAGACAGAGCTTCCTTGCCATGGCTCTGAGGGCTCTGTAGGAATTCCAATCTCAAAAGATGGGGGCACATGCAGATACTCTCACTTTTACATACTGGTCTGGATTCTCAGACTTGGCTGGTATACGAAAACCAGGACCACTCAAGCCTAGATCCTCTGCTGTCAATAGCCCTGGACCAGCAATCCACAAACCCCAGCAATCCACAAACCCAGACTACAGCAAGCCATCAGGCTCCTACTTGCTTGTTTGGCTGTCCCAGATATACCATTCCTGGAAGTAAAGTGAGGTCAAGTCACAGACTGCTCCAGGGCCTTTGATGAAAAATTCCTTTATGGCTTCCTTCTGAATATGGAGCTCCTCCTGTCCAGACCACAAAAATCAGGAGTCTAGGAAAGACTTACCTCTAATAAATTTTCTCTCCAAGTTCTATGTTAATCAGTCCTACAGTAGTCAGACAAGAAGATATGTCTCTCAAATCTCACTATAACACTTAACATAAAACAACATTCTATAGGAAGAAAAAACATACTATTTTCACATCTCAGTAGAAGCACTGCTTAACTTTTCAGCTTTTACCAAACCTATACAATAGAACTGGTACTTTCTTTAGTTAGAGCTTCTAATAGTTCTCTAAAGAAAGTGAGAGTTGTCTGGGTGCAATGGCGCAGACCTGTAATCCCAGTGGTTCAGGAGGCGGAGGCAGGAGGATTGGGAGTTCAAAGCCAGCCTCAGCCATTTAGTGAGGCTCTAAGCAACTCAGTAAGACCATGCCTCTAATAAAATGCAAAACAGGGATAGGTATGTGGCTCAGTGGTTGAATGTCCCTGAGTTCAATCCCTGGTACTTCTCACCAAAACAAAAACAAAAACAACAACAACAAAAAGAAAGTGTGAGTTATTCTTGTAAAAAAGGAGCTAAACTAAGCTTCTGTCCCATCATGCAATGGCAATAACTTTCCACTGCCTTCATACTTCTCCACTTCAGAAATCCCAACACTACCTCAGAAGACATGAGTCCTAGAAGAAATGAAAGAAATTCACAGAGGAGAATGAGAATGGTAGCTCCTTTTGTTTAGTTCAGAATATCTGGAAAATCCCTACATCATTACAGAGAGTCTAAGCATTAGCTTGACACACCGACATAGCTCAATAAAACATATTGGAGCCATGTGTAGTGGTGCATTCCTATACTCCCAGTGGCTCAGAAGGCTGAAGCAGGAAGATCTCATGTTCAAAGCCAGCCTCAGCAGCAATGCCCTAAGAACTCATCCAGAACCTACCTCTCAATAAAATATTTTAAAAAGGTTGGAGATGTGACTCAGTGGTTAAACACCTCTGAATTCAAACCCCGGTACCAAAAAATAACAACAAATCCATGTTGGAGCCACAGAGTTAAAACACCAGGCCAGGAATTCAAATCCTGGATTTGCTATTAACTGACTTTTTTTTTAAAGAGAGAGAGCCAGAGAGACAGAGAGAGAGAGAATTTTTTAATTTTTTTTTTTTTTTTTTAAGTTTTCGGTGGATACAACATCTTTATTTTATTTGTATGTGGTGCTGAGAATTAAACCCAGCGCCCCGCGCATGCCAGGCGAGCACGCTACCACTTGAGCCACATCCCCAGCCCTTAACTGACTCTTTAACCTTGAGTATTTCAATGCCTCCATTTGCTCATTTTTTAAAATAAGAGTGACAACATTCCTCTTTCTCCTGCCTATTCCACAAGTTGGTTGAGATGATTACCTAAATATAGGAATACTTTAATATGGGAATATTTGAAAGCTCCAAGTGCATTACAAATTCAAATTATGCTTTTATCTGGACTATAAAATTCCGAGATTCTAGTCTATAGAATTGTCTTCTTGGCTTAGTGTACCTACTATTATGAGCCAAGTTCTTATGAAAATACTTAGAAGTTACTGCATGATAACAAATTTGGCAACCTAGCCAGTCTCTGCAACTTTATAGATTGCCAGCAGTATGTACCCTTTCCAATTTCTCCTAATTCCCAAACCCTCTCAGAAATATTTTGTGGATGTGTGATTTCTACTATCAGCCCCAAAACTTCCAAAAACCAACTGAAGCATTCATAGTAACAGTGTTACTACAGAAATTGTCCTTTTTCCTGTGAGGCTCACCTGACTTAATTCCTGGGGATGGAAAATGATGATAGCCATTGTATGTCCTTGATTATTGGTACGAACTATGAGCTCACGCCAGTATCCACCTTCATGAAACAGAAGACAGGGTTCCATTGGAGACTGTCGAAGGAATACTTCATAGTACTAAGAAGAAAACAGTATCATTACATGGGTAAAACTGTCAAGTTCCACAGCTGATTATTCTGAGAGGTGATTTTTTGAAGCTATATTGTGCTCCCCAAGAATTCACATGTTAAAACCTTCACCCCTCAATACCTCAGAATGTGACTATATTTAAATACGGGCCTTTAAGGATGTGATTAATTCAAGATGAGGCCTCTAAGAAAGCCTTAATCCAATCTAACTGGTATCCCAATAAAAGGAAATTTGGACACAAAAAAATGGCCACTTTCCTCAGAAGAAACCAAAACTATTAAGGACTATGACCTCAGACTTGTAGCCTCTAGATAGTGAGGAAATAATTTGTTACTGAAGTCATCAACTCTGTGGTATTTCACTATGGCAGCCCTAGCAGAATAAAACAGTAGTATAAAAAAACATGAACCCTGCCCTTTGACCTTATAGAAGACACAATCCATTATATCTGAAACTGTGAGCTACACAAGGGCTTGCCTCAGTCTGGCACATAATATATGCCCAATAAATATCTTTGAAAGAATGTATGACTGAATAAACAGGAAAGGTATTCAGACATAGCATCTCAGTCCATTCTATATATAACATGGAATATAATAAGTTCCCATTTCCGTGAATTCCTCCTAACAGCAATTCCTGATGTCTAAGCTATGATTCATTCTTACTTACAACTTCCTGATATAAGTCTATCATTTCAACATCATATAACCAGGTACCAAATACACTATAGATGAATCAGATCCTCCATTTCCTCCTAGTAAATATAAGTCAAATGTAATTCTGATTTAGTTGCTGTGATCTCAATAATCCTTAAAACCAAACTTTTCAAACAAAAGCCATTTCCTACAATACACACCATCTGATTAAGTCCTTTTATTTTCATAATGCATGAAAGCTTACTATATTTTCAAATGAACTCCATATTATAAAGGGAACGGGGAAGTTATACCAAAAAATAGTGCAGGCTGGGGTTGTGGCTCAGCAATAGAGCACTCGCCTAGCACATGCGAGGCCCTGAGTTTGATCCTCAGCATCACATAAAAATAATAAAATAAAGGTATTGTGTCCAACTACAACTAAAAAATAAATGTTAAAAAAAAGGACTACCTGAGAGGTTCAAATCATTTAAAGATGCACTTAATGACCTTTCCTATAATTTCATATAAATGTAATAGATACTAATCTACACTGGACATATTCTTCAAATTTTGAGGTTGATGATTTAAAGAAGGCCTGGTCCAACAGTTGTTCACTGGCTGCATCGGAAACAATGCTTTTTGGAAGCAAAATCTAAATGTCACATAAGTCCTGAAAGGATGGTTAATTGAAAACCTGAGCTTGACCTGGAAGATAACAGGTAAGAAAACCAGCTTCTTTACTATATGACTAAAACTTTTGTTTCTTCATTGTAAAATAGAGACACACTCCTATTCTATGGGAATGCCCAAGTATTAAGACCAAATGGGGACCTGGGGTTGTGGCTAAGTGGTAGAGTGCTCGCCTAGCACAGGTGAGGCACTGGGTTCGATCCTCAGGGCCACATAAAAATAAATAACTAAAGGCATTATGTCCACTTACAACTAAACAAAATATATAATTTTAAAAAAAAGACCAAATGGGCTTTCTGGTTAAAAGGTTAAAATAACAGAACATGCCTCCTGCAAATACTACTAAAATGAAGTAAAGGAATAAGAAAAGGCCTAAATTTATTTTAGCTTATTGTTCCAACAATGCTTCCTTCTCTTTCTCCTGCAATCCTCACATTCCTGCCTTATTAATACAATATATAAGCATGCTTTTATCCTCCCACTTTAAGGAAAAAAGAAAACTTCTAGACTCCATATTCCCCACTAGTTATTGCTCCATTTCTGTTCCGCTTCATAGCAAAACTCAACAAGCACAATATTCACTGCCTCTCATTCTTCTCCTTCCCTGATTGAATCAGGGTCTCATTACTCCACCAGAACAGCTCACATTAAAGTAACCAAGGACATCTTAAGTCATGAAGGGAAAAAAATAAAAAGAATTGGCCACTGGACTAACTTCTTCTATGTGGTGCTGAGAATTTGAACCCAGCGCTTCACATGTACTAGGCAAGTACTCTACTACTGAGCCACAACCCCAGGCCCAATGGCCAATTCTTAATCCTTTAAATATTTATCAACAGCACTGAGTACAGCTGGATGAGTCATTCTTCTGTCCACTTTACTTGGCAATCAGGACACCACACTCTCCAGTTTCTTATTTCCTCATTGGCTGCTCCTTCTTAGACTATTTTATTAGCCTTTCCTCTTCTCCTTGTCTTAAAATGGGAATGCCTAGGGCTCAGTCCCTGATCCTCTCCTTTTTTCTATTTATTTTCACTCCCTTGATCTCTTCCCAGTTTTCTATTTTTAAGTAATATCTACATAATAAAAAACTTCTAGATTTCTCTCCCTGGAATCCTAGATTAATACAGTCGTGTACCACATAATGACATTTCTACCAACAATGGTGGTCTTATAAGATTATAATACAGCCAAAAAATTCTTGTCACCTAGTGATACATAGAAGTCACCACTGCACTGTCATAACAATGCATTACTCACATTCGTGGAGATGCTGGTATAAACAAACCTACTACACCACCAGTCATATAAAAGTATGTCACTTACAATTATGTATAGTACATAATTTACTGTAAAACAAACTACACTAGCAGCAGCCTCACATATTTCATGTTCATGATGTCTCTTGATTGCGTTATTTTCTCTCATGTTTGATTTACTCTTATTTTGTTCATCATGGCCCCAAGAACAATAGACTATACCATATAGCTATGCCATATAGCCAAGGTGTGTAGTAAGCTATACCATGAAGGTTTTTGTAAGTACAATCTATGATGTTCAAACAACAAAATAACCTATCAATGCATTGCTCAACACATACTCCTGCTATTAAGTGATGCAGGACTATATATCCAACCATCGACTTAACAGCCACTCAGATGTCTAATAGGCATCTTAAATGCAACATGTCCAAAACTGAACTACCTCTGCTTCTACTGCTGGCCTATATCCTCTCACCTAGAATACTGCTACAGCCTCCTAACTGATCTTCCTGCTTGAATATTCCCGCTCGAATAATCCATTTTGAACATCACAACCTGAGTGACAGTTGTTAAAAATCTGATCATACATAACATTCACCCTCACCAAAAAACTTCAGAGGCTGGGGTTGGGGCTCAGTGGAAGCACACTTGCCCAACGTGTATGAGGCTCTGGGTTCGATTCTTAGCACTGCATATAAATAAATAAAGTAAAGGTGTAAACAACAACTAAAAAAATTCTTAAAAAAAAAAAGAAAAAACTCCAATGGGGCCAGGCACAGTAGAATACTCCTGTAATCCCAGAGGCTCAGGAAGCTGAGACAGGAGGATGGCGAGTTTAAAGCCAGCCTCAGCAACTTAGTGAGGCCCTAAGCAACTCAGTGAGACCCTGTCTCTAAATAAAATACAAGAAAGGGCTGGGGATATGGCTCAGTGGCTGAGTGCCCTCAAGTTCAATCCCCTGCACCCCCTCCAAAAAAAAATCTCTAATGGGAAGCTGGGCACAGTGGTGCATGCCTGTAATCCCAGAGGCTCAGGAGACTAAAGCAGGAGTATCACAAGTTCAAAGTTAGACTTAACAGCTTAGCAAGGACCTAAACAACTTAGTGAGACCCTGTCTCTAAATAAAATACAAAAACGGTCCAAGAATGTGACTCAGTGGTTAAGTATCCCTGTGTTCAATCCCCGGTACAAAAAACAAATCTCCAAATGGGGCCCTGTGACAGTGGCACACAACTGTAATCCCAGCAGGTCGGGATTACACAGGAAGCCTCAGCAACTTAGTGAAGGACTAAGCAACTTATCGAGAACTTGTTTCAAAATAAGAAACAGCCAGGTGCGCTGGTGCATGCCTATAATCCAGTGGCTCAGGAGGCTGAGGCAGGAGGATCACAAGTTCACAGCCAGCCCTAAGCAACTCAGTGAGACCATATCTCTAAATAAAACATAAAAAAGGGCCTGGGGATGTAACTCAGTGGTTAAGTGCCCCTGGCTTCAATCCCCAGTACCAAAAAACAAACAAAAAACCCTCTAATTGGTCCTCATTTCATTCAGAGAAGCTAAAGTTCCTCCAATGACCCCTGAGACACTGCATGATCTGGCCTCTGCCAACTCTCACCTTATTTCCTACTATAAGTTTGTTCTTTCCAACATTCCTGAGCCTACTTTCAGGTTCTCCAGGAAGCCAAGCAAGTTACAGTCCCATCTTAGATCCTTTGCAACAACTGTTCTTTTTGCATAGAATGCTCTTCAATCAGACTTCTGCATGGCTAATATGCTCATTTTCTTTAAATTTTTATTCCTGGATTTCTCAACTTTAGCAATACTGACATTTGGGGAAGATAATTATTCTTTGCTATAGGAGGCTTCCTCATGCATTGTACAGGCACTTAATGGTATCCCTGATCTCTACCCACCAGATACTAATAGCAGGACTCAACCATTCTCCAGTGATATCAACCAAAAATGGCTTCAGATACTGCCAAATATCTCCTAGGAGGCAAAAATGCCCTCAGTTGAGAATCACTGTTTTATTTAAACACCATTTTCTTAGGGATAGGGATGTAGCTCAATGGTAGAATGCTTGCTTAGCATGCTGCTTAGCATGTGTTAGGCCCTGGGTTTGATCCCCATTATCACACACACAAAAATAGTACTTTTTCACTGTAGTCTAACTTAATCCTATTTAAAATTATATCCCACACTTCTCCCAAACCCCAGAACTTATTCTCTTCTTTACTCTGCTATTTTCCCCTGGCACTTACCGCCTCCTTCCAATACACTATAAAATTTACTTATTTTTTTATTGTTGTTTTGTTTTTTTGTGGTACCAGGGATTGAACCAAGAGGCACTTAACCACTGAGCCACATCCCCAGCCCTATTTTGTATTTTATTTAGAGA